AGGCCAGTAGAGCTCCATACTGACCTTAACCCTTTGCTTGATGAAGGAGCACCAACATCGACGGGTGGTGTGGTTAATGCAACACAATTGTGTGATGCTCTGGCTATACCACTAATTCTGAAACCACCGCGTGAACAATACGATCACGGTTGGGGGCACGCATGCGCAGACGCGAAGCCGATCAGGTACAGTTGGGATCTGTTTATTAATGACGTCAACAGAAAGCCAACAGTTATGACGTTCGATCTTGTAGAGGGCTCATCACCTCTCATAATCGGGCTAGACGTTAAGAGATTTTCAGATACGATGAACAGACAGAAGCCCACATTCGTCATTTTTCAGAGACCATGCGATACAGAAGAGCGAAAGTTCTTTACTTACATAAGAAAAGACGACGGGGGGAACGAACGTATTCGTTTTGACATTTTACCACATGGAAAATCAACGGTGTCAAGTTTGCTTGGCGCAGTTTCTCCCAGGCAAGAAATAAATATGGTCAAAAAGGTACATCGGTTCACTCACGCATCTTCGAATGAGATGCGACGCTTGTTTGATGACGCTAAGATGACCACGGCAGGAGTGATACAAGCGTGTGAGAAGGTGTCACAGGCATGTGACATATGTGCCTCGTCCGGTAGACCAACCGACATGAAAAAAGTGTCTTTATCTCACGTAAATGAGGCATTTAATCAAGAGATACAGGCTGATTTTGTGATTGTCTATATAGGCGACAAGAAACTGGAGGTGTTAAACGTTGTGGACGTCGGTACACGATACGGGGAAAGAGTTATTGCAGAGAATAGATCGGCTCAGAATATGATGGTCATGCTGGAAGCAGAATGGTTATACCATCACGGGGCACCACAAAGTTTCAGTGCAGACCCAGAGTTCTGTAAACCGGTGCTTGAAAAGTTTCTCAGTACTCACAAGATCAAGCTAAAACCAAGGCCGTCGAGATCATCCTCGAAAAATGGTCATGTCGAAAGGAACAACGGAGTCTTTAAAATGGTCCTTTCAAGGCTTGCCAAGGAGAGTACATCCGCATCGCACTCGACTATGGTCTCCAGGGCATCTTTTATGACCAATATGTTTCACGGAAACGCAACGCTAAGTGCTTTTCAGCTGGCCAGAGGGTATGCTCCATCAATATTGGGGATGCCCAGCAATGCAGTTTCGCAAGGTCTGCTAGACGCCCACACGGAGGCTGTAGCAATCAGGGCAATACAACGAGTAGTTAGGTCAAAAGTGAGAAATGTAGAGCCACACACCTCGTTCGCAAAAGGTATGCGTGTGTGGGTGTATTTTAAAACCTCAAAACAAAACGAGAGACCTCGTTGGATCGAAGCTAGGGTCATTAATGCTACGCCCCACATGCTCAAGTGTCGTCGGTCAAAGAGAGGACCACCCATGACAGTCGCCTATGAACACGTACGGATTGCACCGAGGGGGGAATTATCAAGAGAGTTGATGAAGCGGAGCCTGGAAGACGAGTTGGCACAGGAAAGTGCAGACAAATTAGGTAAGACGTTCGGTGCAGAAAATGACAGCCAGTCCTTAGAGGATACGAAGGAAGATGAAAACAAGGAGCCAGAGAATACAGAGCAGGGTGAGTCTACAACGCTCATGCAGGAAATATTCGGTGACGAAGACGAAAATGAGTCCGAAGAGCGGGGAGAAATACTGAATATGCAACGCAGTTCGTTCTTTACCCAGCGGGTATGTGGAGATCCTAGAAAGGATATTGGTGAAGTAAGCACGAAAAGTAAACCGGGAAACGGGGTGGAGCTCGTGTCACAAGAACAGGAGGCGTTGAATGAATTGCATAAAATCATTGGCTCTGAACAAGTTACCAGAAAACATATGGAATGTGCACCGCCATGGCTTGTCGCAAAAGCAGTCAAAACAGAATTAGATTCAAATTGGGATTGTGCCTATGCTGAAATGCGAGAAGAGGACGTCAGCCGACGCGCCAATGTTATCGGATCGCATGTTGTATACAAAATCAAGGTGGAGGAGAACGGTGTGAAGAGTGTAGTACAACGGCGCGAAGGCAACGGCGCCACCGCTGCCGCCCCGGGATACAGTACGATGGGCTGTAAGCGCGAGAAGAACTGTAAGGAGTTATATTTACAGCACACGGCCGGTGCGGAGTACAGTAGTACCTCGCTGGTTACACGTGTAGGATCCGAACGGTAAGTAATTAGTAATTAGTAGTTAATGGCACAAATTAGCCAATTTAGCACAGTAGCTGGTATACAGTAAGTAACAGCTACTGTAGCGGGACAGGTGTCCTGGCGTCCCACTTAGGGGTTAAGACCGGGGGCACCTGCCCCGTTCCAGTAAACGGGGGCAGACTCGCCTCCCTTCCCTTTACGGCTTTTTGCTAACTCCGTCCGGTTTTACCTCTAAGTCTCAGGCTTCTAACCCGTGACCGGCCGTCCGGATCTGACACCACCGACCGGCTGCGCGTCACCGGCCACGTGAGCCTTCCCTCTTTTCGAGTCCTTCCGTACGGTTCGCGCTCGCGTGGGTTACCCAGCGTCGCGCGCTCCCTTACCTCTAACCCCCCTCGTTCCGAGTGGTCGGGACGAAGGTAGTTATACCACAAAGAGGCTTAAGGCTAGACTTTGCCCACATGGCAACCATGACAACGAGAAAGGACAAATACGCAAGGACTCGGCCACAGCACAGTTCGATGTCATAAGGCTACTTTGTAGTCTTGCTACTGTACTAGGTCTCAGGCTTGGTTGTTTGGACGTGAAAGGTGCATACCTCCAAAGTGGCCCCATTCAGCGCGAGATATTCGTGCGACCACCGTATGAATGGAAAGGACCACGAGGCGCTATCTGGAAGCTATTGAAAATGCCATATGGAATCCCAGAAGCGGGACGCCGATGGGCTAAGGTATTCGAACAATGGCTAACTCAGGAAGCAAAATTTGAACGCGTTCAAGGAGTACCACAGCTGTTCACACGAAAGCACGAGGACGGCAAATTTCAATTGTTACTGGCTAAGGTGACGGATGACCTTCTCATAGCCGGGTCTGTTGAAAATATCGGGTTGTTCACAGCGCATATAAAGGAAAGATTTCCTATAAGCAAGGCGGTAATCGATGACAGCATAAAATTCAATGGCTCAGATATCATGCAGGATAAGACCGGGTCCGTCGTACTTTCTATGGAGACTTACATGCATAGCATCAGTCCAATACTACTGAATGAAACAAGAAGGAGAGAGAGGGGCTCGATGGCGACAGAAAAGGAAGTCAACTGGTTTAGATCGATGGCAGGAGAACTAGTTTGGCTAGGATGCGGGGCGCTTCCACAGGCGGCTTATGTAGGATCTTACATGCAGCAGTGCATACCTAGGCTGAAAGTTGAGCACATGATGCAGGCAAATGGGATGCTTAAAGAACTGAAAGATCTGAAGGCTTTGGTCAAATTCAAAGCACCACAACGGCATCCCATAGACGCAACCGTCAATTCGTTTTCAGACGCAGCGTTCAATATATCAAAGACGAAACAATATGGACAAACAGGATTTATTTTAGGGATATTGTATGAATGTGAAGTGACGAAGGATAAGATGAACCACATGGTGGATTGGGCTAGCACGAAACAGAGGCGTGTGTGCCATTCTTCGTATGGGGCAGAAATCTTGGCTTGTTCTGATGCTGACGATCGTGGCTATAATCTCAAGTTAGCTCTGAATTCACTATTTCCGAGGGACACTTTCAAACACGTGTTGAATGTTGATTCGAAGGGTCTCTACGACACCATAACTACACTACATGAAGGTAGAGACTATCGTCTCAGACAAACAGTGCAAAGGTTAAGGGACTCTTTCGAGGCAGGCGAAGTTAACGTAATCCGGTGGATTCAGGGAAAGGCCAATATCGCAGACGCACTCACAAAAAGAAACCCCATCAGCTTCCGAATGCTTAACCGAATCGCCAGTAGCGGAATTATGGAGCTTCCAGCTCATAACTCCTTCGAAGTGGATAACGAGACTTGGGTTTGAGTCGTTGAAGTTATAGCCTTCAACGACTAAGGGGAGTGTGAAGATTTGGACTGTTGTGCACGTGTAAGCGGTGTGGCGTTTTAATGCAGACTTACACTTTGGGTGAATACAGTGTTTATGGCCTATGTGTATTGAGCCGGAAGGGTCACCAGCATAGATTAGGGTGTGCCTATGAGGGAACACACACATATAGAGAGAAAACAGACAGCGGGAGAGGAGTGCGACATTGAATCGGAAATAGGAAGGGTCATGGGCAAATGCAGAAGCCAAGGATCGCGGAGGAGATAGTGCACGGAAGGGATATGCAATGAGGCGCATGACGATGCGCAGAACGGAAAGAAACGCGAGCGAGCCTAGGTATTTATACAGCTTAGACGAGAGCTAGTAAGAGAAAAGAAAAGGAGGACACGCACGGGAGGACGAGCACCCGAGCCAGCTGATGCTGAATACCTTTGCCGATACGGAACACGTTTTGCCAAACCATCTAGTACCACCTCATAACACTTGAAGGGAACCAACCTGCATCCTTGCCTCAGGATGACCAGTGAAAAACTCACAACTGTACAAGGTCTGTGCGTCGTGAAGGAATACTGTAGATGGAAGCCCAGATTTATGGTAAAGTTGAAATTTCGGAAAAATTGAAGAAAAAAGTTCCCCTCGTTTGCCACTATTCTTCTCACACGTGTCAACCTGTGCACGTGTACCCATCGCCTCGCAACATTCAGATTCGCGCCCCGCCTTGACCCGGCGCCAACGCTTCTCAACTCACCGCTGATTCACTAATTCAACTACCTCTACATCCCCTCCGTCCGAATGCTTGGCGCCGCTGTCAACGTTTCTTAGTCCTCTGTCTTCGATGTCTTCGAGGAGGACAAGCCTTCGCGACGCAACACTTATCAACACTTATTACACCTTAGTACGCTCGCATCCCTCTAGAGTTGCTTACTGAGTGACGAAAGGGAAGCACGTCGGTAGTTCATACATACACATCATACACATACATGGACTGCTACGTCCATCAAGCAACCTTCTCACGCATTCATAACAAACAAACAACCTCCCCACTACAGCCCACTACAGAACTACCGCGAACAGTTGCAAACGCATTACTAATGTCTCGGGCGCCAAGCGGCCATCGCACTTTGATACTTATACAACTAGCTACACAACTAGCTTCATGATAGCAACCAGATGGCCCATCCTTGCAACTGCGACCTCGTGATCGTGGTCTATCTGCAAGTCTCTTGCATTGTCCAACTGGGCCAAGACAGCCTCAGACCCATCCTCTCGCCTTTGCACAATTCCTCCGTCCCTTGCAAATATTTGTGATGTTCGTCTTGCACGAGAAGCAGTACTCAAGTCTGCCGTCTTCAGGAACCGACTCGTGATTTCATCCCAATCTTCTTCCCTCCCAGTATGAAGTGTAATCCCTCTCTCCACGTCCCACACCCGCACGCTCTTGTCAATCGATCCAGATACCACACGTCTTCCGTCCCCACTCATCGCCACGCTATCCACCCAGTCCGCGTGTCCAACTAACGCCTCCCCGACTTGTGCTCCCGTCTCCACGTCCCACACCCGCACGCTCTTGTCCTTGGATCCGGATACCACACGTCTTCCGTCCCGACTCATCGCAACGCTAGCCACCACACCCGTGTGTCCAACTAACGCCTCCCCGACTTGTGCTCCCGTCTCCACGTCCCACACCCGCACGCTCTTGTCATGCGATCCAGATACCACTCGTCTTCCGTCCTTGCTCATCGCAACGCTCCACACCCAACCCGTGTGTCCAACTAACGCCTCCCCGACTTGTGCTCCCGTCTCCACGTCCCACACCCGCACGCTCTTGTCATGCGATCCAGATACCACACGTCTTCCGTCCCCACTCATCGCAACGCTCCACACCGAACCCATGTGTCCAACTAACGCCTCCCCGACTTGTGCTCCCGTCTCCACGTCCCACACCCGCACGCTCTTGTCCCGGGATCCAGATACCACACGTCTTCCGTCCCCACTCATCGCAACGCTCCACACCGAACCCATGTGTCCAACTAACGCCTCCCCGACTTGTGCTCCCGTCTCCACGTCCCACACCCGCACACTCTTGTCAAACGATCCAGATACCACACGTCTTCCGTCCCCACTCATCGCAACGCTAAGCACCCAACCCATGTGTCCAACCAACGCCTCCCCGACTTGTGCTCCCGTCTCCACGTCCCACACCCGCACGCTCTTGTCAAACGATCCAGATACCACACGTCTTCCGTCCCCACTCATCGCAACGCAATGCACTCCCGACCTATGACCGCGGAAACTTCTCAATACTTTCCTCTCCGATGTACTCCACACCCTTAACGTCCCGTCTTCATATCCCACAACAACATACCCCTTCCTCTCACAGAATGTTGCGCAGGTAGCTCTCGTCACGCTCGGGTTTTCTCCAGTCACTTCGGGGGTTACACTTCCAATGCGCATCCCAAAATTTTCCCGCAAACCCCTTTTGCGCCTGCTTGTTCCAAGCTCCTCTGGGCCCCGGCTCTCCGCTTCGAACTCGCCTTCTAATCGAACCATCTTCGTCTCCTTCTCAGCAGATTGCGTGCAAACTGTTATTTCTCCCCCGGACTTCTCCACCTGACATCCAAACACTGCACCCCTGCAATCTATGCCGACTTCAACTTTTCCAGTATTATCATACGGCAGAACAATCTGCTCCACCAACCTTCCATCGGCTCGCGCTACACACTCACTCACAGGCCGCACCCACGGCCGTGGTGCGTATTTCTCGATTTCTTCCAGGATCTTTTGCACACAACCTGATTGCCGTGCCTTGTGCTTCACTCGCCCATATAGTTGAAAGTAAATCCCGGCACTACTTTCACCACAAAACGGTATACTCAGTCGCGCAGCCCGCATCATCAAAACCATCCCATCCACTGCATCCTCATCTACCCCTACCCTTCCCACCTCCTGCCCACTTCCTCTTTTCCACTTCAAATCTCTACTCAACCCCTTCACAGCTTCCTCGTATTGCCAAACCCCGCCTCTCTGTAGCACTGTCTTCACCCATCGCGCACTCAAAAATAGTCTCTTCAGCTCCTCTACACACCCACCCTGTCTCAGAACACGATATATGTTCTCGAAAACATACTCCTCCCGTCCGCTCTTGCCCTCTCCATCTCGGCCCTCACTCATTGCAAGCAACCCTCCTCCTGCACTGCATATATCCCCCATCTTCTTATACCACTCTTCTACACCCTCCTTCTTCTTCGCTTCTTGCACCGCGAAATCGTGCGTCAGATCATGCACCCGCAACCCACCACAACCCTTCTTATACTGCAATTCTACTAATCCAACCCTTTCCATCTCCTTTGCACACCTTTCCGTCCACTCCTCCATCTCCCACAAATCTCCAACCAAACACAAAGGTATCCAGTCTTGCTTTTTCATAACACACAGACTCCGGTGCATCTTTCGAAACGAAAATTCACCAACCGTCTCCCCACTGCTTCCCACATCCGCCGACTCCAGGATATCTAGTGACGTGTGCAATGTCCCATCCAACGACAAATATCCGTCCTTCGGACTCTCACCGCGAATCGTGTTACGCCTCTTCATCCTCGAAAGGTACGCCCCCCATGCTTCTGACACTTCTCCCTCCCATCTTTCCCTCATGTACCTCACACTCGTTCCGGCTACGTTTAGGGCAAGCGGCAATCCCCCACACATTTCCAGTATTTCACGCACGGCCTCCTTGCATCTCGCATTATCCACTTCCTCTCGACTCGCCTCACTCGCGTGCACAAGCATCTCAACTGCTTCTTTCCCTACATTCTCCCTCGGCTCGAAAGCAATCCGCTTCCCAAGTTGACGCAGCTCCCTATCCCTCGTAGAGTACAAGAGTCTGCTCCTCCTTCCCCCGCTGCCCCCCGCAGTCTCAGCCAGAACAGACAACTTTTGAAGGATGTTCGAGTCTATATCATTCACCACCCATACATCATCAATGATGAACAGACACACATGCCTGCAAAACCACGCTTGTACCTTCGTTAACACCCTTCCAAACTCGCTCTGCTCTCGCATTTCCGCAGCCGTCTGCTTGCCACCGGACGCTTCCACAATCAGACACAGTTCTTCAATCAGCCGTCCCACGTTTCCGTCTTTCCCCAACGACATGAAGTACACTCCTCCCGAAAACTCTTCCATAATCTTATCGTCATGCGCGATCGCCCGCAGGGCACATGTCTTCCCGACTCCGCCCTGTCCCACTGCTGTCGCACCCACTTGCTTGTTCCTATCTCTTCGGAGCACAGCCGCTTTTAGACGCGACTCACACGTGTTTGGTAATCCATCGCTCCCCCGAGAATCAAGCTTCACACATATCGACGCAGGATTATGTTCGGCTCTTATCGACGCCCTGAAGGTATCTCCCGTGCCTCCCCTGGTCGACTCGACGGCCGCGCTTACTTGTTGAATACAGCGGTCCGCTCCTTGCTTGACCGCCACGTGAGTATCGATGCTCGTGCTTGCTCGTGGAATAAGATCGTGAAGGTGGTCGGCTTCTTGCTCATCACTTGAGTCCTCCTCACTTTTCTTTTTCACCCACAGAAACACTCGTTTCACAAGATGTTCCCTTGCAAGATGGGCGAATTCATCTTCTGGCAGGTTTGTTGCCCCGCCGTCATTTTCAATCCCAGTAATACCTGCCAGCTCTTTTAGCTCCCCCTTCACCGTATCCGTGCTCGCTTCGTGCTGTCGTTCCTCGCTGAAAAACTTCTCAACTTCAAAAATATTCCTTCCTTCATCATCCCGGTACCGATCGGGCTCCAGCTCTCTGCATTCCCGAATACTTAATCTGTAAAAAACCGGAATCAATGTCGGTGGCCGCATCCCACTGCTTATCGCTTCTTTTCGTCGGTGCAGGAAGCACCGCAGTTCCCTCATTGTCCATTTTCGAGCTGCAAACTCGGGAGAAAGTATGAAAACACCGACCTTCGCAGACTCCATAGCCTTCGTCATTTCATCCTCTCCGCAGTCCCCGGGCTCCATCGAGATTTTGTCGAGGAAGCAACTTAAACCATGAGCTTGCAATTTCTCGGAAAGAGGACGTGCGATGTGTAGCTTGTCCGGGCCAGCATGGCTTATGAACACATCGGGAGACTGTATCTTTCGCCGTTTTCTACTTGGTCCCGACTCTTGCCGGAAGCTTTCCTGCATTTTTTTTGTGAAAAGCTAAAGACAAGTTGGTGAGGTGCGGATTGTGTTAGGGGTGTGTTATGCGTGAGAACGGGACCGGCTGTTAGAAAAACAGGGCCGCGAAGGTTGAAGTCCGCGTTCAGCGCGCGGCACTCTTGTCGTTGTCGACGAAAGCGGAAACAGTGGCGACGGTCGTGTGGGTCAGTAGGGTGAGCTGATGTGCTTTCGCTTGTTCTTCCGTGAATGAATGTCCGTGTGACTTCTTCGCGGAAAGACGCACTCAGGGTGGAGCGGTTTCCTACGCTCGTCAAAGAAAAAGGTGGCTGTTGAGCGGAATTTTGCTGCGTTGTTGGCAGTGCCAACAACGCAGCAAAAAACAGCCTTACTAAACTCACGATGGGCCAAGTTGGCACATCGTGAGTTTAGTAAGGCTGTTCTCGCTGTGTGAGGCATGATTAATGTTTGATTTTTTGCACTAGATTTTGGTTGTAATTTCAAGGGTTTCTATATTGTTCGGCGTAAGCTTCCAAGTGGAAGCTTGACGGCCATCAAACGGGGAAGGAAGGGTGGAGGCCCTGAGAGAGAAAGACACGCACAGGGAGAATTGCGAAAAAATAAAAAGAAAACCGGACCCCAAACCTAAACCTCCACTCGCGACGCACAAAGATGACTTTTACGCCAGCAGTGGGAGCTTCAAAGGACTCCTTGGGCTTGTCTATCGGTATTACCGTAAATACCCTAACAGAGGGACGGCGGAAGAATGAAGGACAGGAGAGGACGTGTCCTTCCTGCTCCAGGCGCCTGGCACCAGACACACCCTCCTTACAACTTTGCTCCCGATTTCTCGCCGTGATGGCATCCCTGTCGCCAGCTTCTGGCGCCATGCGATGCGGTCGCTGTGAACCCTAAATAATGTATTGATTTTTTGAAGTAGATTTTAGAAAAATGGGCGGCTTTAAAAATGGGAGAAGGAAGGGTGGAGGCACAGGGAAGAAACAGAGACAGACAGTACAACAACGAGGGAGAGAAAAAAGAGTATTTTATATTTATATTTTATTCAACAGTCACCTGCCTCCCCATCGCAAGCCGCATGAGGGCGGGGCGGCGTGGCAACCCGGGGGGCACGGGTATCTGCCGGGACAGGGCCCGCGGCGGGGGACAGATGTGGGAGTTTGTCCTAGAAAAAATAAAGGGGATAAATTAGTTTATTTATGTTTAAAAACAGTTCGGCAGTGATTGTTAATGAATGTTTCTGTGCCAAGTGGCGGTGGGTGAAGGGAGGAATGCCGAATTGGTGTTTGTGCGAAGAGGAAGGCGAGCAGTGTCATGATTCATCCACACCGCACGTGTACACCGAGTACACGAGTGCCAGAGATCAGACCCTCTTCCAGTCACTGGAATCCAGTGGACCAATGCACTCCGCACATGAAGATAGTTTCTGAAAAAATTGGATACTACTGAGGGCGAACTTTTAATGTTATGGTATGGGCGCTTGATATTGTTCCGGTGACGCTGTGTGGCAGCGTCTCCTTCGGAACGCACTGAGCCGACTTCGCTTTTCGACGGACGCACGGAGGTGACCGGTCTTCTGCTTCAGACACGCGGCGGTGTCCTCTTCAAAAATCTTCTGATTGCCCGCACGCAGCACTTTACCGACACGCGGCGGCATCGTCTCCGACGGATGCGTGCTGCTAATGCGAGCGAGCGAGCGATGTCGAGAATTATGAAGAAAAGAATACATCCATACCTTCCCTTTCATCAGGTCGCAGTTCCTTTATGTGTGCCGGCAGCTTGCAAGGGGGAGCTGCTCAGCCAGCATCTTAAGTATCTGCCGGTATCCAAGTATCTGGCTGGAGACGGTTGTTGTTGACGCAAGTTGCGACACAAAAAGAGAAACACTACAATTACCCTTATTTTGGCTACAGTGTCATTCCATTCGCGGGCAACCCCTTTCTTCACACACGAGGTCAGTGCGAAGACGTGCGCGATGAGTCTGGTGCCATTAATTTCACATGCCAACTCCTGACGTCTCAACTTCACACCTCAAGTTATTCCGTGTTGGTGATTCGCGGGGAAGTGCACTGAGCGGTTGCACTGCAGGAGGGATGTATTTCGGCCTGCATCGGGAACAAGGGCGCGCGGAGAGGGACGCACAGCGCTTATCGAACTTGCCACCGACGGTGGGTGGGTGGCGCGCGTTTGGAAATGGTATTCCGGGACGCGTAGGCGAGGGACAGCATGCGATTATTGGCAATCCCGACGTAGAGCGAGAGTTGCTCCAGGTAGGGAGCCTGGCGCCGTTGGCGTGCGTTTCCCCGGTGAGTAAAGTGACTGCCTGCATGGAACACATCGCCCCCCTCAGGCCTCTCGGCTGCCAGCCAAGAAGACGGCGCGCCGGGTGTGCGGCCGCCCAGCGGGGGAGCGCGGTCAAAACGCGCGCGCGGCCACCTGTTGCGTGCCGCAGACTCCCCGTGCGACTCCCGCAGATATAAGACGCATTCCAGCTTACGCGGGCCGCCGTCCGCCGCGCGCAACTGCGCCCTCTCTCCACGTGACCACGCCGCCGCGCTCCACGCGGAGCGCGGTCGATCGCAGTCGCAGTCGCAGAGGTGCGGGCAGATGGCCAGTGCCGGCGGGGCAGCGCGAATCGGGACGCACTGCCCCAGCGCCGGGGCCAGGGCCGCACGCCACGGCCTTGCGTCTTCTGCCCCGTCTTGCTGCGGTTTGCTTTGCTTTGCCCAAAGAAGTGACTTGGCGTGCTATGAGTGGCTCCTACGTTTTAATTTATGTGTTTAAGAAAAGCAAGGGCTTAAGAAGCATACGGTATTTGTTAAGAATTTAAAAGTATTCCTGGCAAAACCGGGCAAGGCAAACCAAAAACCAGCCTGTTAAGACACGCCCTCAGGGCTGAGCCGCACGTAGCATCGCTGCATCTCCGCCCGCAAACGCTTCCCGTTCAAACCACGCGCGACCCCCAGCGCAAGCACCACGCCCCCCCGCTTCCCGCCCGTGCCCAGCGATGCGCGCATCCCGCGGCCGCCCGCGCCGCTCGCCCGAAGCGCGAGCGTCCGACTGCGTGCCGCCGCCTCCGTTGCGCGCGCCGCCCGCTCGACACAATCGGTGTCGCGCGCGTCCGTCGCCGCGGGCGGCCGGGTTTCGCCCGTCCCCGCCGCACCCATGCACAGCGCGCGTGCGCTCGCCGTACTTGCTCGCGCGCGCCCGAGCAGTGTGCATAAAAGTCGGGGCCGCCGCGTGCCGCGATCCACTGGTAAGCATCCCCCCCCTCAGCACTGGCAGCGCGCGAGGATGGGCGGCGGAAACAGCAGCAGCGGGATAGAGGGCGGGGGCGCACTCGACGAGCTGGACGTGCTGCTGTCGCCGCGGAAAACGGGGTGGATGCGCGGGGTGGAGCGCGAGAAGGAGCGACTGGTGCGGCGGACGAGGGCGCTCGCGGAGAGCGTGCAGGTGCTGGTGGGGGTGGCGAGGCGGTGCGGGGAAGAGACCGGGGAGGAGATGTGGAAGAGGGAGTAGCGGGAACGAGGACGCGGAAGGAGTATCACTTGCACCCCTTGTGCATTACAGTACAAGCGAGGATACAGCGAGGATAGTTTTCCGCGGATACGTGTAACACGTGTTCCTGCAGAGTTGCAGCTGCCACTGTTGAATCGACAAACTCATAGAGCAGCGCCCTCTTTCTCGCCTCTTCGTCGTCTCTGGTCTCGCTCCTGCTTATCCGTCTCGCTGCGGGCTGTGATCGGACAGCCTATCGTGGTCGGTCTGTCACTGGGGGCCGCTTGTTTCACCTGTGCCGCCCAGGACACTTTCCCATTTGCCCAGTGCTTGTCTCTCACATATTCACCGATGCCCTTGCGGAGACGGTGTTAATTGGAATGAATGACGACGCCGACGTTCCGTAAAGGGAGAGGGAAGGACGTTTTCGGATGGCAGAGACTTGGCAGGCCGCTGCTTGTCACGAAGGACGAGGGGCACCAAGGACGCACCAAGGACGAGGGGTTCGGAGGAGGGGAACGGCAGGGGAACGGCAGGGGAACGGCAGGGGAACAATGTCTGTGCGTAGTGGAGTAAAGGTGGAAGCTCAAATTTATCGTAAAATTGAAGAAAAAAGTTGGCCTCGTTTTGTCCACTGTTCTTCTCACACGTGTGGACCTGTGCACGTGTGAACCTATGCATGTGTGCCCATCGCCTCTCAACATTGAGATTCGCGCCCCGCTTTGAGCCGGTCTGCAACGCTTCTGAACACACCGTTGATGCACTAATAACAACTTCCTCTACTTCGCTTCTGTCCGAATGCTTGATGCCGCTGTGAACGTTCTTATCGTTTCTTAGTCCACTGTCTTCGAGGAGGACAAGCCATCGCAATGCAACACTTATTTCGCGTCAGGTCCGCTCGCATCCTTAGACTTGTTTACCGAGTGATGAAGTCAAGCAGGTCGGTAGTTCATACATACACATACATGGACTGCAACTTCCATACTTCCATCAAGCAAGCTTCTCAGGCATTCATAACAAAACAAAAAGCCCTCCCCACTACAGAACTACCGCGAACAGTTGCAAACGCATTACTAATGTCTCGGGCGCCAAACGGCCATCGCACTTCGATACTAACTTACACAACTAGCTACACAACTAGCTTCATGATAGCAACCAAATGGCCAATCCTTGCAACTGCGACCTCGTGATCGGGGTCCATCTGCAAGTCTAACGCATTGTCCAACTGGGCCAAGACAGCCTCAGACCCATCCTCTCGCCTTTGCACAATTTCTCCGTACCTTTCTCCGTACCTTGAAAATATTTGTGATGTTCGTCCTGCGCGAGAAGCAGTACCCAAGTCTGCCCTCCTCAGGAACCGACTCGTGATTTCTTCCTAATCCTCGAACCTCCCGGTATGAAGTGTGATCCCTCTCTCAACATCCCACACCCGCACGCTCTTGTCAAACGATCCAGATACCACACGTCTTCCGTCCCCACTCATCGCAACGCACACCACCGAACCCGTGTGTCCAACTAACGCCTCCCCAACTTGTGCTTCCGTCTCCACGTCCCACACCCGCACACTCATATCCTCCGATCCAGATACTACACGTCTTCCGTCCGCAGTGTGGACGGAAGACGTGTAGTATGAGTGTGGACTCCACACTCATTGCAACGCAACCCACTCCCGACCTATGACCGCGGTAACTTCTCAATACTTTTCTCTCCGATGTACTCCACAGCCTTAACGTCCCGTCGTCATATCCCACAACAAAATACCCCTTCCTCTCACAGAAACTTGCGCAGGTAGCTCTCGTCACGCTCGGTTTTTCTCAAGTCACTTCGGGGGTTACTCTTCCAATGCGCATTCCAAAATATTCCCCCAAACCCCCACCCCTTTTGCGCCTGCTTGCTCAAAGCTCCCCTAGGTCCTGGCTCTCCGTTTCGAACTCGCCTTCTAATCGAACCATCTTCGTCTCCTTCTCAGCAGATCGCGCGAAAACTGTTACTTCTCCCCCGGACTTCTCCACCTGACATCCATACACTTCACCCCTGCAATCCATGCCCACTTGAATTTCAGAACTGTCATATAGCAGAAAAATCTGCTCCACCAACCTTCCATCGGCTCGCGCTCCACACTCACTCACAGGCCGCACCCATGGCCGTGGTCTGTTCCAGGTGCATGTGGTCGAAAAAGACAGGCTGCTATTGAAGATACAAGTTTAGCAGTATGTGCTAACGTGTTAGCATCTGAGATACAACAAGCAATGGATGAGCTTTCAGCCGATATTGATACCCAAGTTGACCTTATGAATTCTTTCGATGACGTGGATGACGAAGAGGTCACCAAAATTTCTAACGATCGTAGAGTTACTTCTCCGCGTGATGATGATGATGGTGAGATCAGTGGTCCCGAGAACTCATCATTAGTTCCCAATTTAGAAGCTCATGAACCACAAGAGCTCGTTACATATATCCCAGTCGAACAATCTACATTTGATCCTGATCACCAGAGAGTGATCATGACAATGATACTTCCACGGACGCGCCCAATAGCACTGTACCAGATCCGCAAGAAGATGTTGCAAATGTTCAAGGCACAACACAATTGGATCAGCCTTCCGCTACCTCCTTACACCCAATGCAAACTCGCTCCAGTTCCACTACTCCTCACACCTCGAGTGATCGCACACTACACGGGAATGATATCGAATTACTTACTGGTACTGAGCTAACTAGCTGTGAACAAAACGCTCTGAGTCATTTCTACGATTGGTTCAAGTCAAAAGAATTTCTCATCCACCAGGCTGAAGGGTTGCCTTCTTACATCACTTCCAACTCATATTGCGATGAAGAGAGTGCCTTCCTTAATCAGTGCATTCGTATTCACAAGTCTGACGTCCCCAGAGATGCTAATGTTACTTGCAGCCATGTGCTTTATAAGATCAAAACTAGAGATGATGCATCTCTAACATGTAAGGCTCGTATAGCTCCTCATGGGAATGAAGATCGTGATCGTGAACATTTAAAAACTGATTCGGCATGTTGCCCACGTCTAGGAATTCGTACTCTGTTTTCAATATGTGTGATGTTTCAATGGTACCTCACGAAGATCGACGTGAAAGGTGCATTCTTGCAGACTGGTTCTGCTAAACGTGACGTTTATGTTATTCCCCAGAAAGAAAGCTCAGATCATAGATTTGCTTGGCTTCTTACAGTCGCAACCTATGGATTGGTGAACGCCAATGCGCAATGGCAAGTTCACTCAGATCAAACGTCCATTGATATTGGACTAAACACACTCCTATATATGTTCTGCAGTTGTTCTACATGCTTGATGACTGCAGTTTAGTTCTTATCGTGGTTAAGGTAACTGATGATATTTTAATCGGTGGAAGTGAAACTCACAAGCGCCGGTTTATCAAAAGATTGACAGAAGCGTATGAGTTGGGTACAATCACCCATCTTCCTGGTTCATGTTGGTTCTTCGGGCTTGAAGTTTCCCAAGAACCGGACTTCGGTATACATGTTCATGCTGATCAGAAGCGTTCTGGAATAACATCTTGCAACGTTAGTCGTACAAGACGAAAGCAGATTAACGAAAAGTTGAACGCAATAGAGAAATTCCATTGCAACGCCGTTAATGGTTCTATTGGTTTTATTGGTATCCATGCTCTCCCCATTGCTTCATTTGTGTCGAGTTATCTACAACAATCGCGCAATGCTGCTACTGTACATGATCTATGTAACCAATCCGCAATGTTGAGAAAACTTAAGCAACTTGGATCCACAACAAGTTATGATAAGATACCACGGGGTACGAACCATCTCAGTGTTACCGTGTTTGCGGATGCAGCTCGCCCTAGTGAGAACGGTCAGCTCGGTATGATTTGCGGACTTCTCTTTGGCGATATGAATCGTGGTTCTATATTTCATATACTCTCATGGAGATCCAATCTATCAAGGCGTCCAGTTAAGTCGATAGCTTCGGCAGAAACACTTGCAGCAGGTGCTGCTCTTGATGAAGCTCTACTGATTTCATCCGCTTTGTCAGTCATTCTAAAAACAGCTATCCCTACTACCCTGATTGCAGATTCCAAGGATTTGTTTGACTCGCTTTCCTCCTGTCACGTTCCGGAAGATCGTTCAATTCGAGCCGATGTTCAGTTGATCAGATATTATTATGAGACCGAACAACTCGATCGTGTTATTTGGATACCTGCTCTTCAAAACTTATCTGATCTATTGACCAAGAAAGATAGCCCTTTGGCGGATACTCTTCAGCTGATGTTATTCGAAGGATGCCTATAGTTTGAGATGACAAATTTCAAGAGTCGCTCTTGTCATGCGAACCTTGGCTAAGAAATATTGGCTTATCTTCAAAGAGGAAGAGTGTGAAACTTAGGCTATGTTCAAGGAAGTATCCAAGTACATGGCCTTTGCTCAAAAAGCGTCCTCGGACCACTTCCCGTATCTCGAGATTTGTTTGCGTTGTCAGCTTCCACTGTCTGCGTGTGCTACATTTTCTATGTGTGTGACTTCCCACTTTTTCTACCAAGTACCTCCATCGCTTCAACCTGTTTATCGCTCAGTTCTCGTTCTTTGCTCTCCGCTTTGCATCCCTTTGACAGTTGCTCAGTGAATTAGTTGTAAACGTTCTCTTGCTGATTGTTGACGGATACTGTGACTCGCACTGTCCCCCGATCTTCGTCTGTTTGATCCCGCTACCGGCTGCGCTAGTTACTACGTTGCACCTTTATTTGGTCCTCTACGCTCACGTTTCTTAGACACGGTCCTCAAATGCTGTTGCACATGAAGCCCTGTACTTTGAGAAGTACAGAAATCCTGTCTTCTGTCGTAGAGAATTGGGACGCAAAATTGCGTCCCGGCTAACAAGACGAGCACGGTGACAGTATACGGAGTTGGATGATTCCTGTGTATACCGTACATACATTATTGACGCACTCAAAGGGCGACTTAGATCAGCCTCCAGTCAACTGTAACCTTAATCGCAGTGTTCACGAGTCCTTCGCGTGATGGAAAGACGTGGCGAAGGTCTTGAGAGCAAAAGGCTGCTTGCTTATTTATTCTGTAAATTATGGATGTATCGGTAGTTACGTTGAGCGAGATTTCCAAACGCAAGGTAAGTTATGAGTTGATCACGGCGGCGGAGACTGCTCAGCTTCTCCAACTAAAGTTGGACTCGATCACCATTAAACTCCTCTCCGGTTGCCTGCCTAGAAGAGAATATTGAACTTCTCGACCTCAGACGGCTGAACTACACCGTTTCTATCCGTAACCACGACATCAAACGGGTTACTGGATACTACCACAAGGGTTCTTCCGTCATCGAACTCAACATTGGCGAGCCTAAGGAAAGCGAAAGCGGCAGTCGGGATGTTGCTCTGACCGGTGGCTGACAAGGTACCGGTGATCCTGATGTTAGTGTTGATTGCGCTCTGGAGGATCTCCACGATGGCGCCGAATTTCGTTTCGAAGTTCTCGATTCTCTCGGCAGCCTCATAGATCTGCTCGGCACTGATGCCCTCAGCGAAGTTCAGGCCCAAAAGCGCAAAGAAGGGAAGGTTGAGGTCGCCCTCGTAGTTCCTAACGAGCTCTTCGAACTGAGCGCGCTCCTCTGCGGTGAGGGTCTCGACAAAGGAGGAGCTCATGCTGTTAAGAGTCTCAGCATCCACGGCGGTGACTGTGACGTTGAAGTCGAGGTTGATGGTGCCGACCCTGGTGATACGGCCGAGGCTTGTGGTGCTGGTGAAGGAGCCTCCTGTAATTGTCTCGGACTGGCGGGAGACGGGGACAAACTCTTTAACCACGTTGGCGATGCGGCGGGGGGCCGCGCCGGCCAGGGCGGCGGAGAAGAAGACGGCGAGGAAAGTGATGAACTTTGCGGATACCATTTTGGGATACGGGGTGAGTGGGTCGCGGCGGAGGGATGCGATGGGAGTTAGCTGAAGAGGTGAGAGTGGAGGAAGTTGGAAGTGAGGGGCAGTTCGGGTGAGTTTTTATAGGGATGTGAGCGGAGGGGCACGTAGATGACTGCCTTAACGGAGAAGGAATGGTTTTGCCAAAAGGATGGACAGGGAAGACGTGGTGAAAAGATGACTGCAAAGATCAGGAGAGTACAGAATAGATATATATAAGATTTGGGGGTGAGGAATGACGATGAAGAATGTCCACGGATGCACTATGATTTTGCTGGAATTTTGTGACATGACTTGGGGATTACCGATTTCTTGTTGCGAATGAGGAAGAGAAGGAAGAGTTACCGTAATGTGGCGACGACAGAAAAAAGGAATAAGAGATGAAGGTCATGGAAGGATATGGCTGGGGGAATATGTGATGGGAAAGTCTCGATGCAATACGGGGAACGCAATGCAAATTGTGAAGACATCAAGGCGGGGTAGGCGGGGTACGTTTACGCAACGGGAAATGGGAACCTGTATGACGGGGGGTCGTAAAGCATTGTCGTGAGAGAACAGAGATGTGACTGTGGTGAGGTTGAAGTAGTCTCTTTGTGAAGCGGGGAAATGCGGAGGGTGTGCGTGTCAATGCGGCGTCAGGGTGTACAGGCATCCAGGGATGCGGATAGTGAGGAAGGTTTTTT